GAAGGAGAAAGGCGACCAATCCACATTTCGAAAGCCTCGAAAATGAAATACAGTTTCAGTGTGTTCGCCAAATCTATTGAGAAGGCACTAAAATGTTGGAATCAGTGGCTATGCTAAAAAAGAGACTTTTAGAAAGATATATAGGGGCATGTTTTAATATAAAAATATTTTTGATATATTTATCTTAACTAAGAAGAAGGAACGAAGTGTCCCGCTGCTATTTCAAGAGGAGGGGAAGGAACACAACACAGTTGTAGATTATTGGAGATTTTCTTTTTATTTCGAAGAATAATAATCACAGACGAGAAAAAAAGCAACGCGTCGGCATTAAATAATTTGCTACTTCGATATACAACATTTTACGTAGCACAATATTAATTCCTCTTTTTTTTTTTCCTAGAGACTTGAACAAAGAAGTAATCCAGGTAAAAATATACACAGACAAAACAGCACAGCGACGAGAAAATAACCACGGAGGTTACAGGGAGAAGGCGTAATAATCATTCATATTATGTACAGGACTATATACGCTAAGTATAATTTGCATTCAGACTTTCAGATCACATTTTCTAAATTAAAGGTGCTAAACACAACCACATTACTTCAAAAAGTACACGGCGAAGTACAAACGGAGATTTACAAATTACTTGTACTATAGGAAGACTCACATAGAAAAATGTATCTATTCTGACTCTAAAGCCACATTTAATAGGTAGATATTCGTTCTATTGTACAAAAAAAAAGACTTTAATATAGGTAGTATTTTTTCAGTGTCAGGAAACACAATGTATCATTCCTAAGGTTTTTAATTATTTATGCACTTATCATTTATGTATTTTAATATATAGTCTTTTCCGCGTGTTTCCCTCCCCCCCCCTTTCCTTTTTGTCTGGGTTTTTCACGTTTCCTGGTTTCACCTTTCCGAGCAGCTCCCTCGCCCTTTCATTCCTCCTCGTCGTCCTCCGCATCTGCCTTTTCCTGGCTGTTTGAGCCGGAGCAGGCAGTTTTGTTCTCTTTTTTCCACTTCATGCGCCGGTTCTGGAACCAGATCTTGATCTGGCGCTCGGTGAGGCAGAGGGCGTGGGCGATCTCGATGCGCCGCCGCCGCGTCAGGTAGCGGTTGTAGTGAAACTCCTTCTCCAGCTCCAGGGTCTGGTAGCGGGTGTAGGTCTGGCGGCCGCGTTTTCTGTCCGTGCCTGCGAAAAAAGGTTAGATGCAGCTGAGCTGGGGGGTTATGAGGCTCTTCGGGTTTCTCTTACCCTCTTCCTTTTGTCTTGGAGGGGGGGTTCCTCCTTATTTCATCCACCACATGGTGCTCAGCTTGTACAAAACTCTCTTTTTGACAGCCTATACAAGCTTATAGCAAGTTCTTCACATTTGCAAGACCAAATCCTTCTGCTAGAAGCTTTCCCCACCTCGTCCTCCCTGTTCACAGCTCCTAGACCGTTGCACGTTTTATTTCCCTTAATCTAGGAAAAGCACGCGGTGCTTTTGCGTGTCTCTCCCCGGTGAGCGTGTGTCCGTGTCCCTCCCCGCGAGTAGGTGTGCGAGGGAACAGCAAACTTCAGAAAGTTTCCTGCCCCCGTCGCATCAATCAGCCGCTGCGCCCGCGCTTCCATGTTCATTTCAAATTTCGGATGGTTGGGAAATAAATACATAAATAAAGTGGAGCGAGAGAGGCAGCTGTTGCCTACACAAATCCAACTATTTGTCCTCTCTTAAAGCTGTCATCGGGGACCCTGCTTGGAAGGTGTGTGATGTTCCTAATTATTTAGGGGAATGTGCAGCACACAGCAGTGGCTCCCGCTCCGCTGGGGCTCTGCAGGCGGTGCCGGAGCGGGGAAATGCCCCAAAACTCACCGAGGCTCCCCACAACTCTCCAGCCAACTACGAACAGGGGTAGTTCCCCCCCCCCCAATATTTCCTGGGCTCCATTTGGAAATAATTATACACTATGATGTTTGTGATTCTGGATATCTTTTTTCTGTAAAGGCTAAATGTGTCTCTCTAGTATAACTTATCCTTTCCTAGGGCAACGGGGATGGCGAACACCAGCCCTCGGCCTCTCCTCCACACATTCCGCTGGACTCCTCTTCTCCCCCCCCCTTTTTTTTTGTTTTGTTCTTTCTTTTTAACAGAAGAAAAGATCCAGTCATTAAAAGAAGAAAAAAGCAAAATAGCCAGGCTAGCTGTAAAGTAAAAATGTGCAGGTCGTGGAATGTGGGTTGTAAAATCCGCTGAGGGGAGAGCCATAAACTGGTGCTGAATAGGGATGACAACTCTATCTCTGCTCGCTGATGAAATTCCGCAATCAAACAGTGGCCGTGAGGGGCAGGGGGGCAGGCCCTGCGCGGGTGGCTGGGCCCGACTTTCTCTGCTTTTAGCCTCAGCAGATCCCCAAGTGTCCAGGTTTTGGAGCGCTTTTGCCCTGCTACAGGAGGCTCTCTAATGTTGGTACTCTCAGCGTCACATGCTAAAAGGAGGGTATGGGGGGCGGAGGGGTTTCTTAAATCTGAAGTCAGATAAAAGCAGAGATGAAGTGTTTACGACCAGAAATATTTGGTCTTTGATAAATCAACTGTAAAAGAGAATGAATTATGGAGCAGGTAATGGAAATAACTGACCACCAAATAAGTGTGAGGGTAACTCCTGCCTTTATAAGCCGCTATGCATTGGCTGGTTTGCTGTTTTCTTTTCCCTCTGCTTTGCAGGGAGGCTGGCCCGCAGTCCAGTCGCCCCCGAAGTTTACTAACAAGACACTTTCCCAATATCTGGCTGCCAAGCGAGACTCGCTCGCAGGGATGCTCTCAAGTTGCAATCTGGCAAGGCACAGGCAAACCCGGGACGGCTGGAGAAGTGAGCTCACACGTTCCCCTCCGCTTCCTGGCGGGACAGCAGCCCCTTTTTCTCAATTTTCCCATGTTTACACGGATATGAACCCCACATGGGGGGGGGGGCAGTGCCAGGGTGGGGGGTGCCCCGAGCAGGGCCCGGCCCGGAGGAGCCCCGCTCCTTGCAGCCGGGAGGTGGGACACCGGCATATGCCGGACCCCGCTCTCATGTAAGGGAAACGGATATTTATTAAATGTTAATTGACAGTGATACCCTGAGATGTAGCACGTTGGTGACTGAAGGGGGTGCAGCGGCATTTAGCGGGTTTGTGCTGGAAACACACGTGAAAGGCGGCATCTCCCGGAGGGGACCTGCCCCGGCGCTGCTGCGCCCAGGACGGGGGCAGCACCCCGGAGCCGCC